TTCACAGTATGCATTACACATGTTTTCAAGAGATTATATATTTTTTACAACTGAATTTTCAATTGCTGAAATGGAAATGGATTCCATTGTACGACTGCACCGTAATTTATGGTATCAATCCCCTACTGAAGTATATCAGATCATTTCTGATTTTTTGCTATTATAGTGTGGCAATGAACATCTTGGGACATAACTTTCTATCCATATACAAATATATTACTTTGATCATATATTCTTTATGATCAGAAAACCACTTATACAGTATAAGATGTATTATAAGTTACATAGGCAGACACACACATACACGAAGCAGTGAATTTAGAATATATGACAGTATACAAGAGCATCTCATCTGGCCTCTTGACAGTTGTTGTTAAGTGACATCGAGTAGGTTCCAACTCACAGCAACGCTGTATAGGGTTTCCGAGGAGCAGCTGTTGGGTTTGAGTTGCCGATCTTGTGGTTCAAATTGGTCTTGTGGTCTGGTGCTTTATCCCACACCACCATACCAGGACTCCAAATCTTTAAGGAGCAGAAAGTCTCACATTTCTCCCTCAAAACAGCTGGTAGCTTTGAACTGCTGACCTTGAGATTAGTAGCCTGACTCATAACCACTACACTACCAAAGGTGCTTTCTTGACGTCTCTTGTTACTGTCAAGTGTTGTTGAGCTGTATAGGGTTTCTGATGAGCAGATGGTGAGTTTGAACTGCCGATGTTGTGGTTCATACTGACTTTGTGGTTCAGTACTTTATCACAGTGCCACACAAGGCAACCAAAATAATCGAAGGTTAGAGGAACCTTGTCTCAGACAACTCTAGGTAAATGAAAGCAAACTACTGCCTAACTACAGTTCTGTGTCCTCCTCCCTCACACTGGCTCAGTCCCCAGACCAGCTTGGGACCAGCAATGAGAGACCACCCAGGTGGTTCTTGATCAGGATGGTTTGGCATGCCTCTGGGGTGTTAGGAGATGAGTGGGTGGACTGGTCACAATGAATCAGGGTGCTCTGGACATTTAATGAATCAGAGCCAGTAGAGCTGTACGCATGTCTAGAAACCACTCCAACTATTATACCAGCAGTGACTCGTGGACAAACACCAGCCAGGTCCTCGTGGTGCAGATAGGGAGGCTGAGATCTGGAGCATCTTGGGTCCAGCTGAAACTGAGTGGGAGAGTTGAAAGCAAAAGCATCCCAGGGGCCTCCTCCAATAGGCAGTGGTGACTCTCCTCCCCTGGGCTCGTTAACAAGGAGGCATCCACAGGCCTGAGTGGTTTCTCCTAATGATGGGAGGATCTGCCTTCAGAGGCATGGTGCCATGGAATCAGTATCAGCAGGGAAATGAGAAAATAATCTCATGTGACCCAAGACAAATCATTCCATCTTTCTGAACCTTCAGTTTCTCATCTATTAAATGGGGCTCATATTAAGTAGCAAATATGGGACTTTAGGAACTACACTACCATTATGTTGTTGTTAAGTTCTGTCAAGTCAGTTCCGACTCATAACAACCTTGTATAGGGTTTCCAAGGAGCGGCGGGTGAGCTTGAACCATTGACCTTGTGGTCCGGTGCATTATCCTGCAGTGCTACACCAGATTAAGATGTCTATTTTTACTTCCTTGATACATGTAGCACTGAAGGATAAGCACTGGAGAGCTCTAACCTCAAAGTCAGCAGTTCAAACCCACCAGCCGTTCCTCAGAAACCCTAAACAGGGTCACTATGGATAGGAACTGACTTAACGGCATGTTCTTCTAGATCCAGATGAGAACAGAGAAAGAACTTGAAATGCTGAAGTCCGCTCTCCATTTAGTACCACAAATGTCTCAGCGCAGTAGATACATAGTCGCTCTGCCTGTCTCTGCACAAATGGATTCTTTCTCACCTTCCTGGACCTGGAATCTAGGTTTTATATGGCAATAATCACATGACTCTCAAAGGAAGTTGGAAATTCTAGACCGAGGTAAACATTTGTGGTTGTGGTTATGTGCTGTGGAGCTGGTTCCGACTCATAGTGACCCTGTACAGGGTTTCTGGGGCTGTAAATCTTTACGGGAGCAGAAAGCCTCATCTTTCTCCCATGGAACAGCTGGTAGTTTTGAACTGCTGACCCTAAGGTTAGCAACCTGATTTGTAATCACTACATTACCAGAGGTAAACATTGAGGAAGAAACAAATGCCCAGCAGCTGAAGGATTAGCCCTGTGAGCCTCTGAGAGACAGTGCTTTGTATTGGTCACACCAATTATCACAGTAACCCCGAGAGGAAGGTCTATTGTTAGCCCCATTGTACAGATTAAATAACTGAGGCTTGAATGGTTAAATAACTTTCTCAAGGTCATACAGCTCAGAATTTGAACTGGGTCTGCATGTTTCTAGAACCCATGGTTTGCTCGGCTCACTGTGCTGTTTCTCATTCTGTTGTTGTTGTTGTTAAGTGCCTTCGAGTCGGAGCCGACCTATAGCGACCCTGTACAGGGTTTCCGAGGGTGTAAATCCTTACGGGAGTAGAAAGCCTCATCTTTCTCCCGCGCAGCGGCTGGTAGTTTCGAACCACTGACCTTAAGGTTCGCAGCCCGATTCGTAACCACTACGCTACCAGGTTTCTCATTCTAGAGAACCACAAATGGTATCTCCCATGAGGCAACGCATGTGCTTGGGAGGAAGATCTGTGGAAGCAATTCTCTGGTGGATCCTTGAGTTGTATACAGAGATGGGGGCAGGACTGTACCTCCAGGGACCCACGCTGATCCCAGGAAGCTAGGAAGAGGCAGACAGACGGATACCCAGTCTCCTGGGTCTCCTCCACAGCTACGCCAGGAAGGAGATAGAGGACCCCAGAGAGGAGGCCTTTACAAAGCAGAACAACAGGCCACACCAGAAGGTCACACCACGGCTTCCAGGCCCGGTGGTGGTTGTTGTATAAATGCTCAGACACAACTCTTTGTGAATTTTTATTCTACCTTCATTGCCTTCCTGTTTTTTTCCAACTGTATAAGCCAACACATTTTGAACTTTGCTATTTGAACTTTCCTATTTCCTGTCAAGGAGCTCTGATAGCAAAGTGGTTAAGAATCGGCTGGGAACCGCTAGGTCAACAGTTTGAAACTACCAGCTGGCATGCGGGAGAAAGATGAGGCTTTCTGCTCCCGTAAAGATTTACAGCCTTGAAAACGCTGTTCAGGGTTGCTATGGGGGTCAGAGCTGACTTGATGGCACTTAACAATAACAACAGTTTATCAACGAATGACAATAGCAAGTAAAGTTGCATGCAAAGTGCAATGTGAGAGATGGGGGTATCTCTCTATCATTACTCTCTCCCTCTCTGGGTCTCTCTCTGTGGAGCCTTCCTTCTACCAACGGAGACACAAACAGGAGGAGCTGAGATGGTAACCAGGGTCAACCTTGGGCGTAATGAAATTGGAAGCATTTTCTAGCTTTCTTCATGAAAACCCTCTGCACTGTGTGAGTTTTTAATCATAAGCATGGATTCCTTTTTCATCAAATAATAAACAATGACTCAAACACATAGCATATTATATGCCTGTTCTTTAGGTATGCAGAAGTAAATATGAGAAGAAATTAGTCAAAGAGTTAAGAAGTGATTGTCTCTAGGGTTGAGTGGGAAAGGGAGGTGGGAGCAGAGGCCATGCGTGTGTTTGTGTGCTTTTGACTAAAAAACAAATGTATTAAACATAAGAGTGTCCGCTGCAACATTATTTACAATAGCTGAAAGGTCAGCTTAAATGTCCATCAATGGGTAAAAAAAAGGAGGGTTGTCCACACAATGAAATCACTGTTGTTGTTAAGTACTATCAAGTTGGTTCTGACCCATAGCAACCCTGTATAGGGTTTCCGAGGAGCAGCTGGGGAGCTTGAACTGCCAATCTTGCAGTTCAAATGGCTTTGCAGTCTGATTCATTTAACCCACAACACCACACCAGGATCATATTCAGCCAGAAAATAAAATGTAGTTCGGGCACATTGCTGCAGCCTGAATGAACCCTGAAAATACGCTGAGTGAATCAGCCAGATACAGTAAAGGACAAATAATTGTGTGGTCTTATTCGTAGGAAACTGCCAGAAGAAAATCCACAGAGACCAAAATCTATTCATGGTTGCCAGGGGCAGGTAGGAGGGAGAATGAGTCAGTGCTTAGAGCACACCGAGGTTCTGTGAAGGGTGAGGAAAAATCTGGAAAAGGATAGCGATAATGAGAGTACAGCATGGGGATATGATGGGTGCCACTGAGTTGTACCCATGAAAACGGTTCAAGTGGCAAATGTTTTGTTACCTGTATTTTACTACAGTGAAATTCATACAGAGAGGGTAGACATTAAAAAAAAAAAAATTACGCTTTCAATTTATGTGATTGATTCATTGATTTACACTTAGGGATAAAGTAGGATCACCTACATCCCAGCTCTCTACTCAGATTCTCTGGACTGGAAGCAAGCACAGAGGGGCTAGAACTGGTTTTGCTACCTTGACACTCTCGGCCTTTGGGCCTGGATCATCCTTTGTTTCAGTGTGTGGTCCTGTGCATTGGTGTGGCGCTGTGGTGTGGTGTGACTGCAAAGCTGTTTGAACTGCAAGGTTGGCGGTTCAAACTCACCAGCTGCTCCTTGGAAACCCTATACAGGGTCACTATGGGTCGGAATCGACTTGATGGCACTCAACAACAACCTGTGCATTGGAAGATGCTGAGCTGCGTCTTGAGGCTCCACCCACTAGGTACTAGGAGCACCATGTCCTAGCTGTGATAACCAAAAATGTCAACGTGGCCTGCCATCCTTGGAGGGCACCACCCCCTGCATGACTGGATGATGGAGCTGGTACACACCTGTGGCCCAGGGCAGGGATGAGGACAGCGGCAGACATCCAGGAAGCTCATAGGAGGCAGGGCCTTATACTCATTGGCAGTTCTCTCCTGTCCACAGAGGCCATGTGGCTCCACCTTTCCCACCCTGGATGTCCCTCGTCCCTGCAGCCCCCTTACCCAGCCTGATATCGCCCTCAAGCGTCATCAGCACGTTGCCAGCTTTCAGATCCCGGTGGATGATCCTCTTGCCATGGAGGAAGGTAAGGGCTTCCAGCATCTGGCGGCAAACAACCTGAATTTGCGGCTCGGTGAGGCCCCTGTCCAGCTCTGGAAACAGACAGGAAGAGTGTCAGATAGTGTCAGTTCCTCAAACATACACTGCAGGCAACTGAGCATCAGGGATGAGAAATGAAAAAGTTGTCAGCATTACTGAGCACTTACTATACACCAAGCTCATTTTTAAGCACCAGGCTTATTTCTAAGCACTTTAATGCATACGAACCCATTTTGTTCTCACAATGACCCAGTGAGGCTCGTCTAAAGATCATCCCACTTCACAGATGAGAAAACCGAGGCTCAGAGGGGTTACGTAACTTGCTGAAGGGCACAGATGGGAAGCCACGGATCTGAGATTCAAACCTGACAGTCAGGCTGCTGTAGAGAGCAGGCTGGTAAACGCCACCCAATTAAGATTCAGAAATGTATTCTGTCAGCAGGCTTCCTGGGAGGCACAAATAGTCAAACACTCAACCACTAAGTGAAATGTTGGCACTTGGGACCCACCCAGAGGCATCCTCAAAAGGCAGGCCTGGCAACCTGCTTCTGATGGGTCACAGCCATTAAAAAGTCTATGGAGACAGTCTATTCAGAATAACTCAACAGCAGCTGGTTTGGTCTTGGTTTGGTTCTGTCAGCAGGCACACGGTGAGTGCTTACAGCATGCCAGGTTCCACACCTAGTGCAGGGTGGACAGGCAGAGTGCTTTTGACAGAAGAGTGGACAGGTCCATGGGAGGATCCCCCCTCTGTCTGAAGGAACTGGAAGGCTTCCAAGACATAGGTACATTTGAGCTGTGTCTTGAAGGAACAATGGGATTTGAGAGAGAAAGACAGGCAAGGACATTCCAAGTCAAAGAACTGGTGCAAGTAAAGGTCTGATGGCTGGAATGAGCTGGTGTTCAAGAAAAGGACAGAGTGGTGGCACTCACATGAGAGAGGGCTGGACAGGCCAGAAGGACCGGTCACCAGGGCCTTTTGGGCACACACCAGGGAGAGCATACACACACGTGCCACACCCCCTCAATGCCCTTAGAAGAAGTGACTCTCAGGCAGATGAGCCAGGAGACTGAATAAAGGAATTCCAGGTGGGGGACTATATGTGTAAAGGGCCTGGTGTGGCTGGAGGGAAAGGAAAAGAGGAAGCAGAGGTCAGAGGTCAGCAAGGCCCTGGTATGGTGGCTATAATTTATCTGAAACACAACAGGCAGTTTGTGAGACATTCTAAATAAAACAGCGATTATGTCTGATTTATGTCTTGAAAACTTCCATTCTGGTATGGCACTGTAGGGTAATGCATTGGACCACAAGGTTGGTGTGAACCGTGAGGTCAGCAGTTCAAACGCACCAACCACTCCTTGGAAACCCTATACAGGGTCACTCTGAGTCAGAATGGACTCAATGATTCCTAACAACAACTGCTGCACAGAATGAAGGACTGAAAGGGATCAGGGGCCAACCCAGACCCAAGGTGGCCAGGGTGGTTAGGAAAAAGTATTCCTGAATTGATCCCGACACAGTGACACTGTGTATGTTAGAGTAGAAGTCTGCTCCTTCGGGTGTTTAATGACTGAGTTCCAAGACTGCCAGGCCTTTCTGCCGAGCACCTCTGGTTGGACTCAAACCTCCAACCTTTAGTTTAACAACCAAGTGTGTTAACCTTTTGCATGATCCAGAGATTCCTGGTTCCGGGAATTAAGGAAGCAGAAATGACAGAATGTGGGGGCCCCTGGATGTGGCAGAGGGAGGGGGGTGAGAAGATCCAGGGTGCCATCCTTGTCCGAGCACCTGATGTGATCATCATGATTATTTATTTTGACAACCTAAGGCCATGAATTATAATATTGGAGGAGAATTCTAAAAGTGCCATGGGCTACCAAAAGAACCAACAGATCTGTGTTGGAAATAGTGCAGCCAGAGTGTTCCTTAGAGACCACGATGGCCAAACTTCGTCTCTCATACTTTGGACATATTGTCAGAAGGGAACAGTCGCTGGAGAAAGATATCATGTTTGGTAAGATGGAGGGTCAGAGAAAAAGAGGACGACCCCAACGAGATGGATTGGCTAGGTGGCAGCATCGATGGATCCAAGTGTGGCAACAGTAGTGAAAGCCAGGAGGGTGAGATTCCATCAGACATGTTATCAAGAAGGACCAGTCCCTGGAGAACGACATCATATTTGGTAAAGGGAAGGAGCCACAAAAAAAGAAGAAGATCCCCAAAGAGATGGGTTGGCAAAGTGGCAATGCCAATGAGTTGAAACATAATGACAACTGTGCAGATGGCACAGTGTTTCATTCTATTGTGCACAGGGTCACTAAGAGTCAGAAAGGACTCAGTGGCACCTAACAGCAACAACAAAGCCCCCTGTGCTGAGGCAGTTCCTACCTCCCTCTCTGCCTGCTGGGTTTTCAGGTCTCCTGCTCTCAAGTTGGTGCCACCGGGCACTGTTACAAGACCTCCCGCTGAGTAGAACAATATTCGGAGAGACAGGACCTCTTGTATCTCCCTTATAGACACTTGGTCAGATCCCCTGGGGTGATCAAAATAAACACACCAGCCAGGCCTGCAGGCACCAATTTCAACACCCAGGGAAACCAGACCACAGAGGACCCAAGTCTCTTCAGGATCTGCAAGCTGCCCCTCCTCCCTGTAGCCTCATTCTTAAATTCTATGGCCCTAGCCAGAGGCCACACTGCATGGCCTTTGGGGTCACAAGGACTGAGCTTAAACTCAGGCATTTCCTCTCACTACCTGTGTGCTTTTTGTCAAGTTACTCAATCTCTCTGAGTCGGAACCGACTCAACAGCACTTAACAACAATAACCGACCCACTCTAGGCAGTGTTCCAGTAATAAGTTCTCAGCATGGTCCTGAAAAAACAGTCACATGGTGCTGACTGACTCCTGGCGACTGAGTTCATGGGTATCAGAACTCTGCTCCACAGCGTTTTCAATGGCTGATTGTTCACAAGTAGATTGCTGAGTCTTTCTTCCAAGGTACCTCTGGATAGACTTGAACCTCCAACTTTTTAGTTAGCAGCTGAGTGCATAAGTTGTTTGCACCACTTAGGGGTCCTTAGCTTGGTAAATGGTCAATAAAAGCGATTATTGTTATGTTGCCTCGGAGATGAGTCTATGTCTGAAGAGTGGCGTTGCAGGATTAGCACTGGACTGCGACCCATACAGTTGGCAGTTCAAACCCACCAGCTGCTCCATAGAGTTGTTATGACTCAGAACTGACTCAACAGCACTTAACAACAACATCTATTTATTTTTAACTATTACTGTATTTGTTTATTTTTGTTCCACAGTTTGGACACTAAAAGTTCAAATGGAGTAGGCGATTGGTCATACTCTGCGGCTATTTAAAAATGGCAAAAAATGGATCTTGCTCAATTCTGATTTACTCATATGAACAAGACAGGAACAATAAAGGTGCTGATGATCTTCTGAGTCACTATTTTTTGAGCCCTTTTAATGCAGCCGGCCCAGGGCTATGGACTTGGTGTTTTATTTCATTTAAATCCAGAGGCGGATTGTCCGGTAAACACTGACTCACCAATCCATAGTGAACAGTTTCACATGTTTAAGAAAGCCCTGTTTAAACCTAACAATAACCCACAATGGTAGCTCTGATAACTTTTTTCTTAAAGTCAGATTTATTGAGGTAGACTGTACATATAGTCAAATTCACTCCTTCTTTATGTACATGGCAATCCTGGTGTGGCGCTGTGGACTAATGCGCTGGACTGCAAAGTTGATTTGAATTACAAGGTTGGTAGTTCAAGCTTACCAGCCACTCCTAAGAAACCCTATACAGGGTCGCAACTGACCCGATGGCACTTAACAACAACAACAATGTGTACATATGGAGTCCTGTTGTGGTACTATAGGATCAACACTGTACTGCTAACCATAAGGTCGGTAGTTCAAACCTATCAGCTGCTTCTTTTAAACCCTATACACAGTCGCTATGAGTTAGAACTGACTTGAAGGCACTTAACAAGGACAACAATGTATACATGTAAGGATGTCTGGTGGTGTAGTGGGTTACATGTTGGGCTGCTGACCACAAAGTCAGGAATTCGAACCCACCAGCCACTCCACGGGAGAAAGACGAGGCTTTCAGCTCCCAGAAAGATGTACAGCCTTAGAAACCCTAATGAGTCGGAATCAACAACACTTAACAACAACAGGAGGTGTACGTGTCTATGAATTTTGGCACCACCACAAAAAATACTCCCATGCCTCTTTGTATCACCGCCCACACACTCCTCCCCAGCCCGTTAAGCAATCACTCATCTCTGTCCCTATAGTTTTTTGTTTTGTTTGTTTTAACTTTTTATTGTGAATTGGGTGAAGGTTTACAGAGCAAATCAGTTGCCCATTCAACAATTCATACACATTTTGTTTCATGTCATTGATTGCAATTCCCACAAGGTAACATTCCTCATCCCACTTCCTCCCTGTGGTTCCTGTTTCCATTCCTCCTTCTTTCCTGACCCTTACAGCCTTCTGAATCTTGTCCTTGATCAAATGGTTGATTGTTTTAAGGCAAGGATGGGGAACATCTGGCCCTGGGACCATATAAGACCCTCAAAATCATCTGGTCAGGCCCTCCAAAGCAACCACAGTTCCAACCATCATGATGTTGTTGTTAAGTGTTGTTGAGCCAGATGCAACTCATAGCGACCCTGTACAGGATTTCCAAGGAGCAGCTGGTGGGTTTGAAAGCGGATCTTGAAGTTCAGAGCCATCACATTTGTTATTGTTGTTAAATGCCATTGAGCCAGTTCCAATCGATATTAACTCTGTATAGGGTTTCCGAGGAGCAGCTGGTGGAGCTTGAATTGGTGCTCTTGTGGTGGTGGTAGTGGTAGTGTGCCATGGAGTGGCTCTAGTAGGGGTGAGTTAATTAAATGTTTGACCAAATACAGAAGACTAATTTTTAAATTCATAATTTTGCATGACCTGTGAATAATGTTACAAATTTTTGTCCCTATAGTTTTGCCTTTTTCTAGAAGGTACCACAATTGAAATCACGTATTAGT